AGGACAGTGCTCAGGCCATCCAGACAAAACCCAAGAAAGGACACGTGAAAGTGTGTGATCTGTGCCCGATTCAGCAGCTACATCCCTGGCATTCAGAGGGGACTCAGGCAAGGCTTGGATAGAAAGAAGATTGATAGCTGGCGCGGGGTCAGCTTCTATTACCGGCAGGGGTAATCTACTGAGGCCATCAGCATAGCCCATTTCCTTCCCAGGTTTGTGAAATAGGGAAAAGTCATATGCAGACAAAAAGATAGACCACCTGGGCATCCTGGGGAGATGATTTGGGGGGTTTGCTTACGTGTGGTAAGCAAACCCCCCAAATTTCATGGTCAGTGAAGACCGTGAAATGCCTACCATATAAAAAAATCATGGAATTTTTTAATCCCAGCAACAACAGCTAAGGCCTCCCTGTCTATTTGAGCATAATTACGCTCAGCAGAAGATAATGTTCTGGAGTAATATGCAACAGGAACCTGAGTTCCATCAGACCTGAGGTGGCTCAGTACAGCTCCTACCCCATAAGGGGAAGCATTACAAGCGATGCACACAGGAAGGGATTCATTGAAATGTGCAAGTACACTGTTAGGAGTGAGTAAGGCCTTGACCTCATTGAAACTTGCCTCATGTGTTTGTGACCACTGCCACACTGCCTGTTTGTCTAATAGCCTATGAAGAGGCTCAGCTACACTAGCCTTATGTGGAAGAAAAGAATTGTAGAAACTCAGAAGGCCCAGAAAGGCCTGTAGTTCGGCCTTAGACTTTGGCCTAGGGCATGCATAATAGCTTTTAGTTTGGATTCAGCAGGGTGAATCCCAGCAGCATCAATTTTGAACCCCAGGAAATCAGTAGAAGGCACCCCAATTTTGCATTTGTCCTTTTTAAGTTTGAGGCCTGTTTTCCTGAACCTTGACAGGACAGCCCTCAGCCTTTCAGCTAAATTGTGTGTGGAGTCTCCTGCAATTAAGACATCATCAAAGTAGGAGCAAACCCCTGGTATACCCTGTAGTGTGTTTTCCATTACGCTTTGGAAAATCCCAGGAGCGACATTTACTCCAAATTGTAGCCTCCTTACCTTGAAGGCTCCTCTGTGGGTCACAATGGTCTGAGCTATAGCAGCATCATATCAACAGGCAGCTGTTGATACGCTTTAGCTAGGTCAAGCTTTGCAAAAACACGCCCCCCTTGAGGGAGGCCAGAATATGACTGACCACAGGAACAGGATAGGCATGTTGCTGCAATGCCTTATTCAGAGTGCATTTGTAATCAGCACAGATGCGAATGTCCCCATTTGCCTTGAGGGGCGTGACAATGGGGGTCTCCCAGGGACTGGAGTCAACAGGTTCTAGAATTCCTTGTTGGATCAGTTTATCCAGCTCAGTGTCAATTTTACTCTTTAAAGCAAAAGGGACCCTTCTTGCTTTAATTCTAATGGGAGTGACAGTGGGGTCTAGCTTTAGTGACACAGGGGGTCCTTTGAATGTGCCCAGCTGGGGGCTGAAAACATCTGCAAATTCTTTGCAGACTTCCTGTAGGTCGAGTGTTTGTAGACTGTTGAGCCCTGTGATGTGTATCCCCAAAGCCTCAAACCACTCGAGTCCTATGAGACTCGTTCGTTCACCTCCTACTACTAATAGGTCTAGTGGACCCTCAAAATCCTTATATTGCACGTTAAGGGTGGCCTCCCCCTTAACACACACTCTGGAGTTTTGAAAGTCTGTTAGCACAATGTCAGAAGGCCTCAACTTGGCCTGGATTCCTCTGCTGGAACAAATCTTCCTAAATGTATGCATAGAAATGATTGAAAGTGCAGACCCCATGTCCAGTTCCATAGTTAATGGAACCCCTTGTAGCTTTATCTTAAGTGATAGCTTTTTCTTAATAGGCTTGTGTGTGCCTGTCCTATAGATGCTTCTTCGCGAAGCGCAAAACCCCACCCTATTCTGGCTGGGACTCCTGGTACCTTTCAGGCGCAATTCTTCCTGAGGTTGTACCTTCTGATGGTCCAGGCACACAGCTGCAATGTGTCCTTGTTTTCCACAGATAGTGGAGCGGAACTTGCAGTCGATTCTCTTGTGGTGACCTCCACAGCCGATGCACTTGGGGAGAGCTGAAGAGTTTCCTTTTTGTTTCCCTTCCTTTGTGGGGTGGAGACGGTCGACTTCCTCGTCCGGATCCTCCTCAGAGTTTCTTTGGACTTCTTCCTGGTGCACGGATGCAGCATCTGGACTGTTCCTGATTGGCCGCATGTTCTTGATGGCGCCGCCCGCTGCTTCTTCTGCAGTGACCTCTCTCAAGGCATCTTTGAAAGACAAGTCCTCCTTAGCAAAAAGTCTCTGTTGTAACTCTCGATGCCTTAGCCCGCATACGAATCTGTCCCTCAGTCGTTCTTCGAGGTCCTTGAACTCGCAATGTTTGGTGGCTTTCCTTAATGCGGCGATGTACTCCTTGGCCGATTCTCCGGGTCGTTGATCCCTCTGCTCGAAGGTGTGGCACCACGCAATGACGGACATCTTAGGCTGAAAGTGCTCCTTCAGTAGCTTTTTTAGATCTGCGTAGCTGACAGAATCTAAAGGAACAGGTGCTGCAAGGTTCTCAGCGATTTCGAATGCGTCTTGACCGCAAACGCACAGCAGGGTGGCAGCCTTCAAACTATCTTCCCTCACTTGGTTCACCTTGAGGTAGTTTTGAACCCTGGCTACGTAGGACTCCCACCTCTCTGGATGAATTCCGAAAGCCTTCCAATTTTTGCCATTTTTGTAGAAGGAAGGGTCTATCAGCCAGCCTACCCCCAAATGCACGCTGGATTGGCGGGTAGCTGCCGAGTCAACGCCGTTCCTGCTGCTCAGGACTCACTCGGGTAAGCTTACACCTTTTTGTTGATGTAAGGCAATCCCACCTTCATCGCCAGTGTTGCGTCCTTCGCGAAATAGCAAGACACGAGAAGCAGTTGTAGTTCTCAGGAAACTTCTTTATTCTTTAGTTCAGCTTACAGTTAGAAGAAGACAACAACGCCCAAAACTCCTGGCCTCTTATATAGGCCATCCCCGGGTCAATCTGCAACTTTTGGCGCGCCAGCCCTTGCGCATGCGCACAAGTACTGGCGACAGCCTGTCTGGTCCTGGGCAACTTGCACCTGCCCGGGACCGTTTGCAATGCCCCGAGCCTGCTTGCACAGGCTCAGGACATAACAGGGAATTCATCAAATTTGCAGACAACACCAAGCTGGCAGGAATAGCCAACACTCCAGAAGACAGGCTTAGGATACAGGAGGATCTGGACAGACTTGAACACTAGGTGCTATCTAACAAAATGAAATTCAATGGTGAAAAAAGTAAGGTTCTACATTTAGGCAAGAAAAACCAAATGTGTAGGTATAGTACACGGGGTACCTTGCTCAATAGTAGTAACTGTGAGAGGGATCTTGGAGTCCTAGTGGACAATCATTTAAATGAGCCAGTAGTGTGCTGCAGCTGCCAAAAAAGCCAACACAGTGCTAGGCTGCATTAACAGAGGGAGAGAATCAAGATCACATGAAGTATTAATACCACTCTACAATGCCTTGGTAAGGCCACACTTGGATTACTGCATCCAGTTTTGGTCACCACGATGTAAAAAAGATGTTGAGACTCTAGAAAGAGTACAGAGAAGAGCAACAAAGATGATTAGGGACTGGAGGTTAAAACTTATAAGGAAAAGTTGATGGAATTGGGTATGTCTAGTTTAATGAAAAGAAGGACGAGGGGGGACATGATAGCGGTGTTCCAACATCTCAGCAACCATTTTAGAGGGTAGAAACAGATTATGTCACCCTCCATATCACCCTGGTGATATCCTGGCACTTTTTCCTGTTCTACCTTCAAAGTAATATTTTGTGGTTTTGTGGATTTGTTTGTTTGTTGCTTATGGTAGGTATTGCATCATGATTTTTTCCTCTGCTAGCTTCACTTTCTTCTAGGCCACAGTCTTTAGTCTGGCTATTTTGGTGAGGCACTAATGTCCCTCACCTAATTTTCTAAGCTTTTTTTAAATAGAGTCTCCTGTACTTTCCTATTTCTTCTTTTCTTGGTTCTTCTTCTTTACTGTGTATTGTTTTCTCTTAGCTCTTCTTATTGAAATAATTTTGATAACACAATAAATTTTGTACAGAACATTGCTGGTTCAGGATCAGCTAATTCAGGGAAAGAAAAATATTTGTTTCAAATTTCTTGTGAATTTTGAATTGGGTATATTCTGCATGTGAGCCTATGACAGTAAGAAAAATATTCTGTAACAGTAGCTTCAGTTGTATTCACTGAGGAGAGCTGATGAAATGTGGGAATATATATTTTATTTTATTTGTCTGCTTCTTTTCTATTTCTCTTTATTTAATTTTATTATTTTTAAATTAATAACAAAAAAAGAAAAAGGAGAAACCAAAGATAATAATGAAGGAGATATATAAGTGTCAATTAGAAGAGAAAAAATGACATAGAAAGTGAAAGAAATATAACAAAGGAAAAAATGTATGAAATGTAATTATAACTATAAATAATTAGAATATTATATATACTTCTTTAATGCAAATAGTATTCAAATATATATAACTTTCTAATACATTTGAATGACTATCATATTTAACCTACAATATTTCATTAACATGAGTCCCATATTTCATTAAAATCATTTATTTAAAGATTTAAATCATAAATGGCAAGTGCAGTGAGATGTTCTATCCACTGAGTAAGTGGAGTCATATACTTATCTTTCCAATGATGCAATATCAGTTTTTGCCCATAGTAAGAGCACAGAGAATCCATTTATGTTGTCTGGGTGTCAAAATACATGTACTAGGCCTATTGTTCAAAATATTACTTTCTGAAAATTTTAACCATTGTTGCACAATCATATTTATATACTCCATTACATTATCCTGATTAATATTTTTAAAAGTAGTATTCTATGTCATGTTATATGGAATGTATGTAATAGATGTGTCTGGTTGAAACAGCTTTTTTGCTTCTTCAGTGGTTTCTCCATTTAAGTTGCTCTCGGTTGTTCAGTTCAGGCCTGACAACAATAATGTACCATTTGGGGAAAAATATGAAACTCAGCAATCCAGCACTGGAAGCTAAAATAGAGAAAATCTCCACAGCAACCATGTATTTTCCTTTGGTGCTCAGGTAGGTTGGAACAAATGATAGCCACACACTGCAGAACACTAACATGCTGAAAGTGATGAATTTGGCTTCATTGAAAGTATCAGGTAAATTCCTGGCAAAAAAAGCTACTATGAAGCTGGCAATGGCTAAAAAGCCCATGTACCCAATCACAATGTAAAACATGATAGGAGATGCCTCATTACATTGCAGAGTAATTTCACCCATTCCTGAATGCATATTAGCATCTGGGAATGGGGGACTAGTTGAAAGCCACACGGTACAAATGCCTACTTGAAGAAGAGAACAAGAAATAACAATGGAACTGGCCAGCCCTTTCCCCATCCATCTAGTCCTCTTTGTCCCTGGTTGGGTGGCCATGAATGCCAGAACCACAGTGATGGTTTTAGCCAATACTGAAGAAACAGCTACTGAAAAGACAATGCCAAAAACTGATTGCTGCAAGACACATATCACTTTCTGAGGTTGCCCAATAAAAAGCAATGTAGAAAGGAAGCAAAGCAGAAGAGAGATGAGAAGAGTGAAAGTGAGGTCTCGGTTATTGGCTTTGACAATGGGAGTATTGTGATATAGTACAAATGTTTTTAGCAAAATAGCAGTGATCAGAGCAAGGAAAAGAGCTGCAATTGCTAAACCCATCCCCATAGGTTCTTTATAGGATAAAAAGGTTACAATTTTGGGGATGCAGATATTCTGATATTTGTTTGGATAAAGTTCATCTTTGCACTCAACACAATCAGGCATATCTGGAAAAGAGAAGTTTAGCTTTAGTTATACCAATGTCTTATAGTGAAATTGTAAAATTGATAAATGTTAATCAAGAATCGAAGAGTGAGGAAATAGAGAGATTTTCCATCAAAAGTATTCTTTCCTCGAGAGATGATCCATTGCTATATGAGCCTAATTTTGCCTTATCTGGATTGCAATAGAAATGTACTCATTTCTACTCTGAGTGTACTGATTTCTCTATTTCACCTCTCTTTTCCCAACACTGGAAACACTGCAGGAATACATTAATTAAGAGGGTGATGGTCTTTACCATGAGCATCCGTTGACCACGAATTAGGATTAATCTATCCAAACCTTAACAACTCAGATCTGCTAGTATTTTCCTGAGCAACCGAGATAGGGAACATAGGCATATGAAGCAAGATGATGGGAATCATCTTGTACATTCATTCCTTTGGTAACTACCATGCTTTAAAAAAATGGAGTATATTTCTTACCTTCCCACTCAGAAATTTTGCCTTCTGGGCAGGGAATGCAATCATAGCAGCAGAAGAGCTCCCCTTCTTTCTTTTGTTTCCTGTAACCAGGTTGGCACTTGTCATTACAAACAGAGAGAGGTTGCACCTAATTCACCAAGAAAAGTAAAAATCATAAACTAACATAAAACTTCATAATGAAAAGAATAGAATTCTTACAGATTAGAGGGCAACATGGCATGCACTTACCTATTACTGGACAGATTCTATAATGGTATAGTGCTATGGAGTGGTATATAAGTCTAAATACTATTGCTATTGCTGTAGGTCAAAATATTCTGGCCTCAAATTCTCCTTTTCTACTAATTCCCTATCTGTAAGTGTTGCATAACCTAGTCTAACCATAGGAATAACACTGATTCATTTGCTTGTCTGCTTGCTTGTTTTGGTTTTAGCTTTCATTTTTATTTTCTTTATTTAAATAAACAGAAGAAAAAGGAAAAAAAATTAAATAAGAAAAAAGAATTAAGAATAAAAAGAATAAAAAAGGTAATTTTGATATTTTTGGTCCTTCAACATTCTTTCAAGAGATACAATTTTACTGCCATTAAAGATGGGAATGGTAAGATATGTAGCTTTTCTAAAGATGTATATTTTCTTTTTTTAAAAAAAGTATTATGTGCTAAATCTGAGAAATCTGAAGATATACATGCTTTTATCAACTTGAAACTAGAATTCTAATAATAACAATAACAAATAAAATAACCAGATTGCTTGAATATACTGTGGATTGGTATACAACATTTATTAATATTCTTTTGTATCTGATACATGAATTTTATCTAGCGTGTATCCATACAAATCATTTTTGCAAAGTGATATTGTGTATATTAGTTATGCAAAAATCTCGTAAAAGTGTGTATCTTATGTCCTAATTAGATCTTCTTAGACAGATACCGAAGCTGAAGCTCAAATTCTTTCACCACCTAATGAGAAGAGACAACTCACTGGAAAAGACTCTGATGTTGGGAAAATTAAAGGCAAAAGAGGAAAGGGATGACAGAGAATGATGTAGTTAGTGTCATCGATGCAATGAATTTGGGCAAAATCGAGGAGACAATGGAGAATAGGGGAAGCTGGCATGGTATATTCAGTGGGATCATGAAGACACAACTTAATGACTGAACAATAACAAAAATTAGATTGGGATTTAATAGAAGATTGTAATTGTTACAAATAAACTACTGTTTCAACTAATAACAGACCATTGAGTAATTTCTCCAGTAGTTAAGAATCATCAAATGGACTTTATAACAAGTAGATATATTTCAGAATACATATGGCTGATAGTATATTTGGTTGAATTCAACAAAAACAGAAAAAGCAAAACTGTAAAGCTGGATAATATACAGTAGGAGGAGGAGGAGGACATCAGATCCATTTTGGAACCTAAGATTTAACATGTTCTCCAATCCACAAATGATGCTTTGAAATAGGTGAGACTATAGCATGTCTATTCTTGGCTCCCTTAAGAGGAAGAGGCCTCCCAGAGAGTCACATGAGAGAAGAATCTGCAGATGGTTGAGCAGCACAACCATGAGACAGATGAGGGGAAGCACACCTATTGGATGAAGATGAACCAGTTTAGTGGTTTGGTAAGCAAACTCAGGAATATACCACAGATTTGGAGCTCATGCATGTTGGACAAAAATCCTCACATGCTAATGCATATGCCTCCATTGCTATTTAGAAGCAGTTTTTTTCCCCATGGGTGAATTGAAGTCTCTATTTCATTCTTGAGTCAGCAGATTAAGTAGCAGCATAAACATTGCAGGTCCTTAACAGAATAACAGAGTTGGAAGTCTTCTAGTCCAATCCCCTGCTCAGGCAGGAAACCCTATACCATTTCAGACAAATGGTTGTTCAATCTCTTCTTAAAAATTTCCAGTGTTGGAGCATTCACAACTTCTGGAGGCAAGTCGTTTCACTGATTAATTGCTCTAATTGTCAGGAAATTTCTCCTTAGTTTTAGGTTCTTTCTCTTCTTGATTTGCTTTTCTTTGTGCTCTTTCCTTGTCCTATCTCTTGGCTGTTCTTCAGCATGATTGGATGGAGAACCCACGGATGGGTTGTCTTAATCTATCTGCTCCAATTAGACTAAGTCTGAAATTTAGTACTGCCCCCTCTGTGCCAACTGCACCTCAGTTTTAGACTTAGTCTCTTTGCCCCAAGACGCGTTTTGTCTTCGCTCCTGGAGCAGAAGACTATTTCATTCTATTTAATTACTTAGCTCAGGCTATTATTATTATTTGTTATTTTATTATTGATTCAGAATCGATTATATCTAGAAGAAAGATCAATTATCCCAGTCTATTCAGGCTGACAGACTCACAATCCTCTCCCTTTGGGGGGGGGGAACTTTTCCCTTCTTTGTTTTCCCTCAGTTAGGGACAGCAAAATCAAACCTTTGATTTAGGTCGTTTTCAGAGCCTCATCAAGCCTGGAGGGAGCCTTCCCAGGTCCCTCGGCCCCAGCAGAGAGCAGCAGGTGAGAATTTGGGTGCGGCCCAATTTTCGGAGCCGGGAGGGCCTGTCAGGCCTTGGACGACAGCTTTTCCAGCCGGCCTAATCACCTGCCACCAGCTGCTTTAGGAGCCCAGGCGATTCACCCGAATGAGGGCTCATTGCAGCTTAGTCCCTAGGCCTCAAGGCCTTCTTCCAACGGCCGTTTTTTAGGGCGCGAAATTGGCGGCCGCCATTTTGAATTGCCTCACGGTGGCCATTTTGGATGTGGCTGAAGCCTCGGGCAGCCATTTTGTATGTGGTTGAGGCCCTCAGCGGCCATTTTGTGAGTGGCGGAAGTCACTGGTGGCCATTTTGTGGGTGGCTGAAGTCACTGGCTGCCATTTTGTGTGGGGCTGAAGCCTCAGTGGCCATTTTGAGTGTGCCTGAAGTCACTGGTGGCCATTTTGTGGGTGGCTGAAGTCACTGGCGGCCATTTTGTGTGGGGCTGAAGCCTCGGTGGCCATTTTGAGTGTGCCTGAAGTCATCGGTGGCCATTTTGTGTGTGACTGAAGCCCTCGGAGGCCCTTTTGTGCGTGGCAAAAGCCCTTGGCGGCCATTTTGTGTGTGGCTGAGGCCCAGACTGCCTGGAACTTTCTTCTGAAAGCAGTATTACATCATCGGTGGCAGGATCGTCAAGAGAGCAGGTTCGACCGGGGAGGGCCTGATCGATCCCAAGTGATCGGGGTGCCCATTAACTCCCCGCCCACCCCCCTCTTGGGCTGAAGTATCTCTGTAGACTCCCTTGGTGAAGTACAGCGCCGAGGGGGGTGCTTTGCCAAGGTTGAGACCAGAGCAACTCATCATGGCAGAGAAAGGCAGCAAGCCGGCCAAGAGGAGTCACCAATCAGAGGCAAGTGGTAAGAGCACCACCAAGCAAGCCCGGCCAAGCAGGGAGCCACAGAGGGAGGAAGGGTGCCAAAGACTGAGAGCGGCCTCCCCAGATCTGACAGGCACGATGGGAAGGTCTATATTTGAGCCCCTTTCTTCGCACAGTGCCTCAGCCCCAGGGGCCTGGTCTCCCCCCAGGGGAATTCCTGAGTCAGATTCAAACCTAACAGTGGCTTCAGGGAGGGGTATAACTGGTCAGGACACCTCAGGGCCCCAGGCCACATTCACTCCCACTGCAGCAGGACTTCGCCCTCCTGAGAACCAGGCCCTGAACCCGAACCTCCTCCAGTCCATGATAGCCCAGGCTGTGGCTCAATTTATGGCCTCCAACACCCCACAGCCACCCCCACAGGCCACACATCATTCACAATCTCCGGATTGCATGGATGATCCCGCATCAGATTTGGAATCTACAGGAGCTGAACAAGCTGGCCTAATTTTGTCTGAAGACGAGGGCATCACCCCATCCGAACCCACCCCTCCTGTTGGTCTCTTTGACCATTCCTTCTTCAATTCCCTGCTTCTCAAGGCCTGCACCACTGCAAACCTCGCCCAAGAACAGGAGAACCCACCAACATCCCAGGGTCCCCATGCCATATACACTGAGCCCTCTGTCTCACAGAATCATATTCCCTGCCCTCCCCTTTTTCTAAATATAGTCCAGAAACAATGGGAAAAACTAGGATCCCCCTTAAGCCCTGGTGCGGTAGAGAGAACATTGTTCAATGTTGCTCCTTCCCTGACCTCCCTTTTGGAGATTCCTGAGATTGATGAGCCCTTAAACTCATTGTTTCCCAAGTCCAACATCCCTGGGGACATAAATGAGGCACTAAGGGCAGAGGACAAGAAGATTGAGTCCGCCCTATGCAGATCCCACCAGGCATCAGCCTGGGCAACGAGGGCGGCAACCTCCATGGCCATTTTTGCCAGGGCTTCGGTCCTGTGGCTACGGGAGCTCCAGGACATGATCCCTCCGGACCAGCTCAGAGCCCACCAGAATCTGGGTAAGTTGGTGGCCACGTCCCAGTATCTAGCCGATGCCTCCTTACACACGATCAGATACACTGCCCGGACCATCGCGGCAGACATTTCAGCACGAAGGCTCCTTTGGCTCAGAAACTGGCGAGCAGACACCAAGGCCAAGTGGCGTCTGGCCTCTAAACCTTATACAGGTGGACAACTCTTTGGTAAGGCGCTAGAGCCATACCTAACCGAAGGTAAGGATAAACGCAAGACCTTGGTTAATACATCAAGGAGGGGAGATAGACGCTGGGGGAACTTGTCGCAGAGTAACTACAGAAGGCAGCCCTTTCGGCCAGCGCCAGCCTGGGACTGGGCCCAGGCTCCTCGCCCCTCCTTTCAGAGACAGGAACGACAACAAGATCGTTCAGCATACAGAGGCAGATCACAGTTCCAGACCAAGCGGTCCTTTCGAGGCGCAGGGAGCCGCTCCTTTAAGCGAGGCAAGTGAACCTGCAGCCTCACCTCCCATAGGAGGCCGGCTGGCCCTCTATTCCAGCATTTGGGCAACCACTACTACAGACGCATGGGTGTTAGACACCGTCTCCCAAGGTCTGAGACTAGAATTTTGTTCCTATCCACCTGACAGATTCCGCTCTTGTCCTATGTCAACGAACAGGACCAGAGCTGAACTTATGTCAGAGGCAATAGCTCATTTATTGCAAATACAAGCAAT